CAACTAACGATTATGGTTGGCTTTTGGTTGCCTCTGGTTGGCAGGCACCCGCCAGCCAAGTTACACGGGTTTTGGCCCCATTTCCAACCAGAACGAACCACAAGCCAACCGAGATCGGCTTGACACCATGTAGGTGCATCTGGTTGACTTCTGGTTGCTTTCTGGTTGGTCATGGGTTGTTCTGGGCGTTCTAGCCGCTCACGTTACACGTGTTTAGGCCGCATTTCTAACCAGAAACCAACCAACTTCAACCGAACAGCACTTACACGTTGTAAACAAACTTTACACGTTGTAAACACGAACTCTGGATGCAAGGGTACCCTTGGGAAGGTTGCCCATCCTTGCTGTGCGGGCTGACTGTAAAGCCAAGACGGAGACCGAGAACTCAGTGGACATCCGCTGAGCGAGGGGTCCGCCACGAGAGCGTGGGGCCAGGCTAGCCACTGGGCTCGGCTGTGCTGCCCCATAGCCCCCGCCTCGGACGGCGCCCACCGGTGCATGTGCACGGATCCTGGTCGGGTCAATGCTGGGCTCGGGGTCGCTGGCTTCGCTTTCCTGGCCAGGTCAGGAAGGCGTAATTAAACGAAGCCAGGACGAAGATAACATCGGGTGAGGATACATCCAGGATCTCTGAGAGCTGGCGGCTCTAGAGAATGTATCCGACGCCACAGCCTTCTCAGAGCGTTCAGGAACGTGAACGTCTTCTTATTCGGCGTTTCGACATTGGGCGGAGAGGGGGGGAGGGGGGCGGTCTGGCTCCGGACCGCTGCTGAACGCCATTGTTTGCAACAGTGCGTCCCATGGGGGAGACCCCACCTGCTCGAAACAGGCGCCAGAAACAGTCAAGGTCTAATCCATGGGGGGGGAGGGGGGGGGGGGGGGGGGCGAAGGCCCGCGCGGATCGGCAAAACAAGGAATAGGAAAACGATCACGACGCTCTGATCGAGAGTGCTCTCTGGAACGCTCCGAATCGGATTCATCCTCGTCCTCGCCCCTTCCGGCGTGTGCACCATCGTGGGCCTAGGAACGGGCCGGCCAGGATCGGGACAGGGGCCCCAAGCCGAGGAGAGAAGCGAGGGAACCAGGAAGAAAACACGCCGTCGGAAATCTGGGGCTGGCACGGCCTTGGGGGGAGGTGCAACAACAGTGTACATGGATTTACAAAAAAGGACCCCTAACCCTGCGGAAGGGGACCTAGAGGCCAAGAACATCAGGGATAGGGGGTCTCATCTGCAGATGTATCGAACCAAACCGCCCAAATATGTTATCCCTAATGCAAAGACGGGGACCTCAGTGAGGGGCATGCCGCTACTGAAGAAGAACACACACAGCCCTCGGAAGCCCTCGGATAGTAAACAATGGAGGAGTAACATGCTGACAGGGTCCCAAAATGCGGCGCGTCATCGATACTCTTCTTCCCCCCCCCAAAGACCCCCTACATCCGCGGGAGGCGCGCCATGCGTCGCTGGCGAGCCGCCAAGACAGACAGACAGACAGACAGACAGACAGACAGACAGACAGACAGACAGACAGACAGACAGACAGACAGACAGACAGACAGACAGACAGAAAGACGACAGACAGACAGCAGCCGTGCACGCCAGAGGTGCGCTGGGAGCACGGTGAAGCAGAAATGAATGGGTGAAACCACGAGCGTGCTACAGCCAACCCGCGTAATCAGGACGCGCGGTAAGGGTGCAGGGGCCTTGGACGCCCATGCCGAGACTATCAAAGCGGGTCTGGCCATCGAAAGTGGTTGAGCATGGACCGAAGAGGCCGAAGAGGCAAGGATACAAGGGTACCCTTGGGAAGCCGATCGTCCTTACCATACGGGTTTGACTTTAAGCATGGCATCGGTGGAGGAAGATCGGCGGCACGCAAGAGAGGCCCTGGGCAAGAGTGACCCTTGGTGCGCGACTTTGGGGTGGCACGAGCGGGCCTCACCCAAGAGCGCAGGCCGCCACTGCCGCACCGCGTGCAGCCATCGGAAGGCACCAGCGGGGGCCCGCACCGAACTTCACTCCGACGAAGGGTCGCTCACGTGACTTCTTTGGACGCCCGAAACGGGTACGGAAAAAATGGGTACAATGCCCAACAACAAATGTTGTCCCAAACCAACAACGGCCGCTGTTGGGCAAGCGGCCTTCCGTCTCGAATGGACACAGGCCGCGGCGGCGCGGACAGCGAATCCTGTTCGAAATGAACAGGAACTGCTGTTGGGCATTGTACCCATTCTTTCCGCACCCATTTCGGGCGTCCAGAACTTCGAGCAGGAGAGGCACCGCAGCTCGGGCTAGGCACGAGTCGCCCAGGCGGCCCCGGCAGGCCGCGCCGCCGGCGCGGCCCCCATCGGGCCCAGCCGCCCCGCGGCGGCGGCGGGCGCCGCCTCGCACGCGAGCGCGGCGCCGCCCTCGGCCTCGGCGGACATGGCCGGCGCCGCCTCGCGGCGCGCCGCCCCCGCCGCGCGGGCGCCGCCGCGGCGCGCGGCGCGCCCTCGCGCGGGGCGCCTCGCGCGGCCGCGGGGCGCTGCGCGCGGCGGCGACGCAGCGGTCCTCAGCCGCGGGCCCTCGCCCCGGCAAGCGGCCCGCGGAGCGGCGGGCCGGGCCTCCTGCGGGCGGGGCGCTGCGCGGCAGCGCGCGGCCGGCGCCGAGGGGCGCGCCGTCGCCCCAGGCCATCCACGCGGAAGGCAGCAACGCGTCGGGGCCCCCGCCGGCCGGCGGCGCGCCCCTCGCCCCAGGCCTCGGCGACGGGGCGGCCCGGCCCCAGCGCGGGGGGCCCCGGGCCTCCGCGGCGGGGGCAGCGGCCGCCGCGGCGGCTGCGGGCGGTGCGGTTCCTGGCCACCGGGCGGCCCCGCCGCCGCCCGGGGCGCGGCCGGCGCGGCTGGCGCCTGGGGGGCACTCGGCGCTCCGAGGCTGCAGGGCCTTCGCCTTCTCCTCCGCGGCGCCCCCGGCAGGCGTGCCGGCGTCCCGGAGCTTCTGCTGCGCGCCCTCGAAGGGCTGGCGGGCCCTGAGGGCGGCCTGGGGGTCGGCCAGCGAGTGGACCTTCGAGCCGGTGCAGAGGAGAAGGCACGCGGCCAGGGGCAGGAGGAACGTGTCCTTGAGCAGCGCGAACGAGCAGGATACGGACCACTCCGTGCCAGTGGCCTCGCTCGCGTGTGACAGAAAGACGGCCGTGAAGAAAATCGCGCACAGCGAGTACGATGCAAGGAAGCAGGAGTGGGCCAGGTCCGCGCACCTCCAGCTCCGCAGCATTCTTCGCCGGTTCCCCTCGTCCCAGCGCTCCCGGTAGAGAAACCTCCGGCGCACCAGGAAGAAGGCTGCGAGGCGTGTCGGAACCGCGGCAACGAAGGACGTGAGCACGCCCACCGCGACGTGTCTGAACACGCGCTCCCGAGTGCTCTCAGCCTCGCACCCGGGGTCGCTTGTCCTCGACGTGCCCCCCTCGAAGTAGACGAAAAAGCAGGCGTTGAGCGCCAGCGAGCCCATGACCCTCGCCACGAGCGCCAGCGCTCGAGAGGCGCACCGAAGCCTCAGGTCCAAGAAGAGCGTCACGGTCCACAGGGGATGCTGCGACCGTGGTCCGTTGGCCACAGGGGGGAGCAGCATCGGTCAAGCGGACCGCCCAGGGGCCCAAAAAGGAACCGTCAGAAGGATCAAAGACCACAAACAGTGGAGGTCAGTCCTCAAGAAACCTTCCACACGACACCTGACCGACCCGTCACGCTCTCCATGGCAAAACCATCCATCGAAACCCAAGAAACCCAGGGCACACTGGAGGCAAGCAAGGTGTTTCTTGGCACGGGTGTCCACTGTAGTTGACCTGCCTCCGGAGGGTACGTCTGTCGGCGCCTCCCTCGACCTACGCCTTCCGCAGCTTCCGAGCGGCAGAGGCCTCGCAGCGGCGGCACCCGCAGCGGCGGCACCCGCCGCCACCGCAGCGGCGACCACAGCCGCAGAGGCCGCCGCCGCGGACGCGCCGTGGTGGCGTCGGCCGCGCGAAAGGTGCAAAGGGTGGAGGTCGGGGGCAACCCCTTAGGTTGCCACGAGACCTCAGGGAGACAGGTCCTGGAGGCCCCAGCTGGGACAGGCGCTTCATCGGGAGACGTTCTGGCGGTGCGTCGGTCGTCGTCTCTTGGGGGGCATCTTGAGGTCTTCTTGAAGCCTTCTTATGGGGGATACGCAAATCTCGGGTATGGGGAACTCGGGTTGGCCTGACGGGGCCATCATAAAAACGGCGCGACCCAATCTGAAATTTGGCGCGAGCTCCCGCTGCAAACATCCCACGAAAACCGCCCGTCAAAATCCAGGACGCGCTCGACAGAAAAAACGTCGGCAAACCCGAGTTCGGGCATACTCAAGTCGTATATAGTTCCCCGATCTCAGGGCATCTTGGGGTCTTCTGCAGGGCTCCTTGTGGTCTTCTGTGGGGCCCTCGTGGATCACCTGGAGGCCTTCCTGGGCCATCTCTGCCTCCTCGGCCGTCCTGCGACCGCCCTGGCCCCCTGCGGGGCCGCCGTGGGGGCTGGGAGCCCGACGGCATAGGAAGCGAACAGGACCCCCCTTCCCCTAAAGATGGTTGAATTAGTCTTATGTCGGGCGTGTCCCCCTACAGGGGGATTTTCGCCGAAAAAAACTAAAATATTTCACACGTGCACCAAAAAGGTCAAACAACTACTCCAAAAACAGTCCCCTGACTATTTTTTGACTATTTTTTTGTTATTTTGGGGGTATGCTTTATTTTTCGTCGAAAAATCCCCCTGTAGGGGGACATGCCCGACTTAAACTTAGTCTTGCCCCCCTTGGTGGACCGATTTTCCACCACCGCCACCACCACAACCACCATAGGTAGGAGGGCGGCGGAGGAGCAGAAGGAGGGCCTTCCCTCCTCCCACTCCTCCCTTCTCCCCCGTGCTACCTGTGGTAGTGGTGGCGGAAGATTGGCCCATCACCCTTGCCCCCTGGGAGAGCGAGCGCTGGCCTTGACCGCCAAATGCGTTTCAAATGCGGCTGGGCCCCGTTGCCAAGAGCAGATGGTATTTAAGCCGAGGCGTGATGCACACAGCGCAACGCGTGGGCAGCACCAGCGAAAGCAGGGAGAGGGAAGCAGGCAGCACGGACACGAGGAAGAGCAGAGGGCAGCGCGGAGAGAGTCAGGGGAGTTCCCGCATGAGAGGCAGGAGTAAAGGAACAAGCAATGACGCAGACATGAAACTTTGGAGGTCCGCGCGGGTCCCCTGGATCGACGCTGGAGGCGCCACCGGGAGGTCCCGGCGCCGGTCCGAGAAATCCGCGCGGACCTCCGAACGTTTATGTTTGTGCCACCATCTAAGCGACGATCAAGAACGCGTCTTACGCGATATGACGCAGCGACCTCACGCCGCGGCTTACGCGGGCCGCCAGCGCGGCACTCTACTTTTTGAACGAGGGCGCTTACGCGGGCAGCTTACGCGGGCAACTTACGCGCGACTGTCGGCGAAGACGAACCTGTACCCCTGCTCCCCAATTGAGAGGCACGGGAGCCCTCGAGATGTGCCGCTCCTGATGGCCCTCCCGCGCGGCGGCAAACCGACCACGGTGCTGCGCCCAGAAGAGGTGGCAGCAGCGCCCCAGGGGGCCCCGCCGCCAGAAGGCCTCCACGGCCCCGGGGGCCGCGCTGCGCACTCTCTCCGCCAGGGCTGCCAGCTTCGAGTCCGCCCCGCCGGGTCGTGCGGCCTCGGGGGGGGCCGAGCGGGGGACGCGGGTTCCCCGGCGCTGCGTTTTTGTCTCACTCCTCCTCCTCCTCCTCCTCCTCCTCCTCCTCCTCCTCCTCCTCCTCCTCCTCCTCCTCCTCCTCCTCCTCCTCCATTCCGTTCTCTTTTAAATAACTCCTTCCTGTCACACCCCGAGGCTGGTCGAAAGGGCGGGCCGGGCGTTTCGCCTAACACCTCCACACCACGTATGGTCCTGATGCCCTAAGAATTGGCAACAGCTTCGCAGCTGTAGGGCGGGTGGTTTTCAAAAGGTGGCTCTCGTCTTGGCGCCTCGCCTTGGCGCCTCGCACTTAATGCGGCTCTCGCCATAGCGCTGCGCACATTCGTTTTAATTCAGCGCCACGCACATTCATGTCAAATAGTTGCAACAAAGGAACTGTTTAACATACCGGAAGTAGTGTGTTGGAACGATTCAGGATTGTCAGGGCGTAACTGGCACGATTCAGGATTGCGGAGAAGTAACAGTCAGGCTAACTCGTAGCGTTGAAGTCCAGAGAACGGTGCTCTGGCACGCTTCAAGATGTTCACACGGTTGTCCCCCCACGGGGGAAATCTATAAGTAGAAATGACCCCTTGTAGGAGCCTATGAAGAGGGGCCTTGGAGGGAGGATGTATATTAACATCTTGATGAGACGTGGTTTTGCGTTGGTCCTCATCCTCCTCCTCCGCCTCCTCCTTTTCATGGTCCTGTTCCTCCTCCTCCTCCTCCTCCTCCTCCTCCTCAGCCTCCTCCTCTCCTCATCATCATCATCATCAGCATCAGCATCATCCACATCATCACATCATTCATCATCAGCATCATCATCATATCATCATCATCATCAGCATCATCATCATCATCATCATCATCAGCATCATCATCATCTTCAGCATCAGCATCAGCATCAGCATCATCAGCATCATCATCATCATCATCAGCAGCAGCAGCATCAGCATCAGCATCAGCACCATCTTCATCATCAGCATAGCAGCATAATCATCATCATCAGCAGCAGCAACAGCAGCACAGCATCAGCATCAGCACCATCAATCATCATCATCATCAGCAGCAGCAGCATCATCAGCATCATCAGCATCATCAGCATCATCAGCATCATCAGCATCATCAGCATCATCAGCATCATCAGCATCATCATCATCATCATCATCATCATCATCATCATACTCATCCGTCTCTTCGTGCTCCTCCTTTTCATGTTCCTCCTCCTCCTCCCCAAGGCAGGAAGGCCTCGCTCCCGCCAGGTGCGCCGCCGCCGTTGCCCGGGGCGCCTGCCCAGGAGCCCGCCAGAGCGGCGCCGCCGCCGCGCTGGCGCTCGGGCCCCGCGCCCCTCGGGGATGAGGGGGGAGAGGGGGGGTCAGTGTGTTTTGCCTCTGCTCCTCCTCCTCCTCCTCCTCCTCCTCCTCCTCCTCCTCCTCCTCCTCCTCCTCCTCCTCCTCCTCCTCCTCCTCTTTGACGCTGCGCAGACGTGGATCGGAGATCGCTGCGCGGTTGGTGACGTGCAATACAATAATACCTGACTTAGGCGAAGAAGCAAATACTAGGGGAATATAAAGTGACATAATCATAACAACTCAGAGGTCCGCGCGGATCTGTCGGATCGGCGCTGGACCCCCCTCCCTTGGCGCCGCAAGGGGCGGCGCGGAGCGCCGCCGGGGCGGGGGCCCAGCGCCGATCCGATAAGCCCGCGCGGACCTCCGAGTCTTTATGTGTATGCCACTTCCTGTTCCCCTAAAAACAAGCGAAACAGAAGGGCAGGGAAAGGGCAGCAGAAGGAAAGCCCAACAAACGGCCGCAGAGTAAAGCGCCGCCGACCGGCACCGGAGGAATGGCCACCTGAGGAGTACAGGAAGAGGCTGGGCGTCTAGGCCCGAAGCTGCCCCCCTCCTCCTGACTCCTCATCCTCTCATCACTCCCTCCTCACTCCCCTCACTCGTCATTCCTCTCTCCTCCTCCTCCTCCTCCTCCTCTCCTCCTCCTCCTCCTCCTCCTCCTCCTCCTCCTCCTCCTCCTCCTCCTCCTCCTCCTGGGGACCCTCCCAGCATCATGGGCGCCGCGCCCTGCGCCGCCACGTGGAGCTTCTCCAGGAGGGCGGATCGTTTCCGAGGGCCCCAGGGACTTCGGAAACGATCCGCTGCCAACAAGTGGTCCCGAAGATGACGTCCAGGAGGCTCGGGGCCCCACGTCATGCAGCAGGCACGACGTCGGAAGCCAGGGTGCGCACCAGCGCGCATCCCTCCAGGGGCGAGGAGAGAATAGGGTCGTGTGCACATCGTGGTTTTCTGTCGGAGGACGGGGGGGGGGAGGGGAGGACGGGAGGGGAGGACGGGGGGAGGGAGGAGGGAGGAGGGGAAGAGGAAGAAGTGCGAGAGGAGGGGGGAGGAGGGAGAGGGGGAGGGGAGAGGAGAGGAGGGGAAGAGAATGAGGCGGAGGAGAAGGGGGGGATGGGAGGGGACGGGGACGGGGACGTGGAGGGGGAGGGAGAGAAGGGAGGCGGAGAAGGAGGGAGGAAAAGGAGAACGGAAGAAGAGGAGGAGGCGGGAGGAGGGCGTCCTCCAGATCAGCCGCAGCGCCCCGGCATCGATCCTGAGGGCCCGCGCGAGGGCCAGGTAGCTGCACTGCTCCGTAAAGCAGCCTGAGACCTTCACGCCCTCGATGGCCTCGATGAGCTGGTCGGCCACGCCGAGCCTCCTCATTCGACGGCGAGCGAGGGAGGGAAGCGAGGAGGAGGAGGAGGAGGAGGAGGAGGAGGAGGAGGAGGAGGACCAGCGCCCCTCGAACGGGGACTCCTCTAACGGGGACTCCTGGCCAGTGGCCCAGCGATCCCAACCCTTCCCGATAGTGGGCAACGCCGTGATGCCAGAAAGAGGCCCCAAAATAGCAACTTTCGGCACATGCCCAAAGCACCAGTTCGTGAGTACCCGGTATACGGTGCCGCTGAGAGGAGGCCATCTTGAAGGCTGGAGGCCTTCCGAGCCCTCTGAGGAGGCTCTGCTCCTTCTCGACTCCCCCTGGGGCTCGCCGCCGACTCCAGGGTGGGCTGGTGGGGCTGAGGTTACGTCGGCATGCACCCCTAGAGGCAGATTTCTGACGACAAAGATTAACTAGCCCCAGACAATTCAGAAATAGTCACACGCACGCACACACACACACTCTCACACACACACACACACACACACGCACGCACGCACACACACACAGAAAATAGAAACATCGGCCCCAGACCAGTTGTTTTACTTTACTATCGTAGACTACTCCTCCTGTGAAGGGACATGCCCGACTTAAGGCTGAGATGCCATGGCCGAGTGGGGATGGGGATAGGTTGGGCGATGCTGATCTCGCCATCGCTCGGACGTCCATTCCTCATGTATGTTTCGATGTCGTGCGTGCTTTTTTTCGCCAAATGATCAAGGATGGTCCTCGATGGCCGTCGCCGAGAAAAAATGCACACGTCCGAGCGATGGCAAGGCCCCGAAGAAGAAGTCTTGGTGGACTCTGGGACGGGTCCGAGGATCCATTTGACCGGACCTGGACCGGCGTCTCAACTGGCCGTCCTCCGATGTCTCAGAGGGCGTCGCGAGCCTGGAAAGGAGGCTTTTCAGAGGCCCCCCGGCCTCTCAGACGCTTTACAGGAAGCTGGGGAGACCAAAAGGTACCAATACTGATGAGCCAATTTCTCCAATCCACTAGGATGGGGGAGAAGGAAAAAAGGGGAGGTACTCGTTCTCCCCCGCCTTCTCCCCCTCCAACTCCCCCCCCCTCTCCGACCTATGGTAGTGGCGGTGGAAAACCAGCCCCTCAGATACCCCTACTCCCCGGACCTCTCCCAGGGTGCGCTCTGACCGGGATCTCGAGGCGAATCCAGCGACGAGGGCCTCCCAGGAGGCCCCAAAGAGGGGGCAAGGATAGGAAGGCACCAACTATACACCAACACCGATCCTGGCCCAGGATCACCCTGGGCCCAGGATCGGTGTATACGCCCTCCTGCCTTGCGCAAGAAGGCGTATACACCGATCCTGGGCCTAGGGTGATCCTGGGCCCAGGATCGGTGTTGGTGTATAGTTGGTGCCCTCCGAAAAGGAGGCAGGACAGCGGTATGGGGCACCTCTTCGAGAGGAAGGTAAACGGACATCAACAGAAACCGGCTGACGGTCCGCCCCCCTCCCCCCCCCCCCCGGAATTCTTGGATGTGCGCGGGAAACCCCCTCCCTAGGCGCGCGGAGGCGCTCCAGGGGCGGCGCGAGGCGCCCACAACGGGGGGCCCAGCGCGGGATCCCAGGAGATCCGCGCGGAACCGTCAAGAGTTTATGTTTCTGCCGCTTGCTGTTCTTCGAGTTCCTCCCCCCGACTCCTGGCCCACTGGAGGATCTCAGGGGCAGCCCCCACAATCGGTGAGCGGGCAAAGAGGGGGGTGTCCAAGAGGGGGTGGGGGTGCAAATCATGACTGGCGACATGTGCGCGGCCCAGCGGGGGGGGGCAGGGACGTAATGAAATAAGAAGAGGCGCCATGAAATCTGAGGAAATATTATGCCCCCCGCCATGATATCCACCCCCCCCCCTAGTCATCACACCCCTCTTTTCCGCCCCCGACCCAAACCCTGCCGAGAAGGCCCCCCGGGCTTCTGGGCGGCAATCCCCCCCCGGGGACTCGAGGGGCGCGTCGCGCCCCTCGCGCTGCCTCCACTCCTCCCTGGGGGAGCAGCAGGGCTGTGGAAGACGAAGCCAGGGCGAGGGCACAATCTGAAGGGGCCCTGAGACACACAAATAAATACACTAAAACGATTCCCCATATTTTCCCATATGTTCTGGGTTTTTGTCTTCCCCCCCACTTCCCATATTTTCCATATGTTCTGGGGATCGACGATTAATTGTGTCTGTGTGTTTTTTCCCCTCCTGAACTAAGCCAGGGCGAGGGCACAATCGCTAGGAGGAAAATCCTGGAAGCCTCGCGCGGCAACAACTTCAGACCCGAGTTACGTCGAATTGACGTCGGATGTACGTGGGGCTCACATCGGACTACGTCGGATCTACGTCGGACTGACGCCAGAGCATGGCCGTGCGAGCGTCGACACATAGCTTACAGAGCTGGCGTGTGGACTAGATAATACAACTATTACGCGCCGCGCGAGGCCTCCAGGATGTTCCTCATAGCAATCGGGTGAGGATACGGCGGAGGCCAGTCCACAGGGAACCTTCCACAAATAACCCAACTCTGAGACCCCAGGACGTCGATGGATGTCTGGCGTGGGGACGTCACGCTGTCCACAGCAGAACCATCGAGCCCAAGAAAACCAGGGCACCCTGGGGAGGCAAGCGGGTGTTTCTTGCCATGAGACTTCACTGTGCAGTCAACAACCCGTATCATAAGGATGCGCGGTAAGGATGCAAGGGCCTTGGAGTGCCACGTTAGCGTTTTTCGAGCGAGGTCGGCCAACGAGAGCCGCTGAGGATGAGCCCAGGGGGCACGGATGCAAGAGTACCCTTGGGAAGGCTGTCCATCCTTTCGCTGCGGGCTGACTGGAAACCGAGAACCTCGGAGAACTGGCGGTGCTGGAGGATGTCTTGGGCGCCGCGGCCTTCTCAGAGCGATCCGGGGCGCTCTGAAAGCGTTCCGGAACGATCTGGAACCGACTTCTCCTCGCCCTGTAGCCCCGTCCGAAAGGTACGTACCAAAGGCACTACTCCCTGGACCTTTTCCCAGGGTGCACTCGGACGAAAGTTTCGAGGAGGGTCCAGCCGCCGTGACGAGGGCTGTCCAGGATTAAGTCGGGCCTGTCCCTCTACAGGAGGAATATGCAAAAAGTAGTGAAAAAATAGTCTGGAGACTATTTTTTGAATATTTTGGGACATCTTTTGAATATTTTCTGAGTCGTTTTTTATTTTTCGTCCAAAATCCCCCTGTATGGGGACACGCCCGACGTAAGTCCAGGACTTCCCCTTTGGGGAGGGTTTCTACCTGCCCCTCCCCACCCTCCCTGGGCCTCGAGGGGGGCGCCCGATGGCCCAAGACGGCTTCACGAGGGCTCCAGCGAGCCCCAAAAATGGCCTCCGTTCAAGACAGCTTCTCGTGACAAGCAATAAAAAGTACCCCTAACCCTTTGGGGGGCCCAGAACATCAGGGATGCGGGGACTTTTTTGTTCTGCTGATGTATCAGACCAAACCGCCCAGATTGATGATCCCTGATGCGAGGACGGGGACCCAAGTGAGGCCATGTTTTCACTATGGTATAAGGGTTAGGGGTTCTTGTCCTCGATGACAAATGGTCTCCGTTCAAGATAGCTTCGAACATGCCTCCAAGAGCCTTCAAGAACGTCCCAGGACGGCTCCAAATGCCCTCCGAGCCTCCCTAGAGCCCCCCTGATGCCAAAATCGTCCCAAACCCGAGGGTAATCAATGGTTTGTGTCTTCTGGCTAGATCGATTCCGACGGGCTCTTGAGGCCCCCTAACTGGCTCCAAGATGGCCCAAGAGCGGCCCAAGAGGGGCCTAAGACGATCCCAACAGCGCCCAATCCAGCCCCAAGAGCGCCCCAAGAGGGCCCCAAGATGCTATTTTGAGGGCTCCGACGGGGGTGGCGTACTGAGGACCCCCCCGTTTGACTAAAAGCTTCCAAGATGGCCCCAAGAGGGCCCCAAAAAGTCTCCCAAGAGAGGCCCAAGAAACCCACCAAAAGGGTCTCAAGAGGGGCCCAAGAGACCCCAAAAGGTTTTCCACGAACGCGACATAAGCTTCCAAAATGGCCCCAAGGTGACT